AAGACCCTGACACTGAGAAAGATTGAGGGCAGGAGGAAAAGCGGACGATAGAGGAAGAGATGGTTGCATGGCATCACCGACTCAATGGACATCAGTTTGAGCAAACTTCGGAAGACGGTGAAGGACAGGGAAGCCTGGCGTGCTGCAATCCATGGGGTCCCAAAGAGTCAGATATGACCGAGTGACAGAACAACAAAATATATGGAGGGTCTAGCAGGGTCAAGTTAGATGCAGATTTTCGACTGTGTCAAAACCAACATATACCACCAAAAATCCAAAAATGATTATGTTTTCCCAGTTTGTAGGGAGAAAAATCTGAGGAGCTCAGCAGAATCTCATCATTAAGGGTTTCCTCCCATAATTTGTTTTAAGCCTTTTTTGCCCCTAGCAAAAGATCATACAACTAAATATATAGATATCTCAGGATGCACTGTAAACAGCCCCATGACTTCCAGGTGTTTTGACAACGGATCACGTCTGAAAATCAGTTTTAATATATTCTAACCCTTTACCATAACTGTGTATGTGAACCTCTTGGGCCAAAACTGTTCCTTAAGTCACAGAACAAAGCAGGAGCTCAAAAAATGTCTTGTTAGTTGAAATCCTTGCTTCATCCTTTTATCACTGCACTTAGAACATTTTCTAAATCTTCTTAAATGGCACTTTTTTTTAAAAGAATGGCAACTATAATAAATTGAACTACATGGCGTATCGAGCACTAACATTCTATAATTCTGAACAAGAAGTAAACCCAGATTCTATTACCAAAGGTATTCAATTTTTAAAGATTTACATAAAAAAGATAGAATTACACATTCCAGTGGGAGTTGAACTACTAGGGAATAAGAAACGCCTTGTTAAAATCCCCAGTTAATTTCTGGGTTTTGATCTTAGCTGAGAATAAACAAGCCAACAAATTTCAAATTTAACTAAGAAGGAGATTAAAATCAATGTACAAAATCCATATGTAGTTCAGTTACTACCTGTACTTGGAAACCTCTGTTTTTAAATTTCTGAGGCTTCATAATGATGCTTTTGTATGTTCATGTCTGACTAAAAAGCAATTACGAAACTAAGTTATCTTTACCTATATTTTAAGGAAGCCTTTAAAAAAAAATAACCCATTATATGTGCCTCTCTTTAACAGCAACTTAACTCAGAAATCAACAAGGATATATATCATGTTCAAGCTTATTTTCACCAAAATATTATTTTAAATGGCCAAAACTAAAACTTCAAATTCAGCTCTGTTGGGGTCACTAGTGATGCCTATTCTGTAATTATAGCTTATTAAAACTACATGGCAACATTCTTAAAGCTTTCAAAAATACTTTAAAATTTAAAAGCATTCAAAAATATAATTTAAAATTCAGAAGAGGCAAAAATTCTTATTAAGCATAACTTCCTAAGTATTTTCTATTCCTTTCCACTTATTAGATGATTTTCTCCCTACTCCTTAATGCTAATTGCTATTTCCCTCCTGGGTGTGTGGGCATGTTCAGTTAAGTCTGACTCTCTGTGACCCCATGGACTGTAGCCCACCAAGCTCCTCTATCCATTGGATTTTCCAGGCAAGAACACTGGAGTGGGTTGCCATTTCCTACTCCAGAGGATCTTCCCAGCCCAGAGATTGAACCATATCTCTGGCGTCTCCTGCACTGGCCATTCTTTACCATTAGCGCCATCTGGGAAGCCCTCAGTTGCCTCAAATACATGAATGAGATCCTTTCTAAAATATGTAACTGAGAGACTAGATATGCTAGTCTTAGTCATAGTTCTATCACAAATATTATATATATATAACATATTGTTATATATTACTAATATAATTAAATTATGATAAAATGTCATTTGTAGATCATATACATGTAGTGCTATCATAAACACAAGACACAAACCAAAAAATTTAGAAATGTTAACAGGATAAAATAAAAATAAAATATACTGAAGTTGTAATGTTTTCTTTCTTCTCCCCAGTTGATCATCCTGCATACCTGCTGAAAAGCAGACACTATTCTGGAGACCATACTGTAGCCAGAGGAAGTATCTGTAGTTCCCAGAAACACCTTGCTGTCCCATGCCTTGCATTCACTGTAGTTCAATAATCTGGAATGTTTCTCTCAAGCCCTCTAAGAAAATCCAGAAGCAAGCTTCAACTTCTTTAAGAAATAGTTCAAGTATAAGCTTCTCTATACCTTTTAACTCCATTATATTGTAGAATCATCAATGTTTTTACATGTCTTTTCCCCTACTCAACTATATACCACTTAAAAAAGTAGAAAACCTCTCTTTTGATATCTGAATGTCTAGTTCTGAAAGATACACATTTGTGCAATCAATACTTTCAAAGCACAGATGAAAACACTGAGATTCAAGTTACACAATCTGCCCAAGGTACATGCCACTGGATTGCTCTGCAATAATGTGACACCCTCTCTATCTGATGTACCTCATTTCTTGCTCAGTAATATATGAAGCAGCTGTAAAATTCTCCTTAAATTTGAAAATAAGGGTTAATTCAGTATCTTACAAATACATATGAGAAGACAAAAGAGAACAAATTTAATATCTAAGTGTTTTTTATTACTAAAATATATCACTTATTTAGAAATAAGGTATCTGAATCATCTATTTGCTGAAAGTCTTAGTCACGTGGACAGTCTATTATAAGAGAGTATTGTTCTGGAGCATCTATATATCCTAATTGCATACCAAACAGTTATAATCTACGCTTTTCTTGAAGTGGTGCTCACTCAAAGCATTTATTTAGCAATGACGCGGATTTTAGGTTAGTACAGAAAAAGAAACGATTTCCTAGATCTACAACTGTGGTTTGTCGAACCTATTATTTACAAAATGTTTGTACATATCAAATACAAAAAAAAGTGAGGGACTCAAAAAGCCTTAATTATCTCTTTGAGATCATCATGTTTCATTTCATTTACTACTAAACTGCAAGAATTTTATCTCTCCAGGACAAAGAACATCAGAAATACATTATTATATTTATAAACAAAAGAATATTTTAAGTATGGATGCTGTTATATCATAGCCTCATTCTAAATCCCTGTGTTTTTTTTTAACATTTATTTTTATTTATTTGGCTGCATAGAATCCTAGTTGTGGCATGTGGGATCTAGTTCCCTAACAAGAGATCGAGCCCAGCCCCCCTGTATCAGGAGCACAGAGTCTCAGCCACTGGCCCACAAGGGAATTCCCTAAATCCCTGTTTCTAATCTGTAAAACTAGATGCTTGGACTAGATAAACTCTTTAGCTTCTTCCACATCTAAAATCTTGTGACATCAACTTGGAATATACTTTACTACTTAAAAATAAAGTGAATGGACTGTTTCTTATGTGAGTCATAGCTATGAAACACTGTGAAGACAAGGGTAACAAACACACTACACAAATAAAACACCACTAAAGTATTAAAAGTAATATACAAATTTGTGAATTATTCTATTATCAAATAATCAGTATTAGAAAAAGATTCAAGAAGAGGTTCCTTAAACAGAGCTGCCCTAATGAGTCAAGCACTAAGTTAACCATTGTTTTCAGTGAAAGAAGTCACTGGTAGTCTCGAAAACAGCATAACTGGAAGCCAGCGACAGATTAGATTATTTTAAAATTACAATTATAAATCAAGGACAGAAAAGTTAACACAACTTTTCAGGTGCTTTTGGATAAAAGTACTCGCACACGTCCCAGTTTCAGATATGAGAATATTCATTTTATTCAACTACCACTACTAGTATTATAATGGTTAAAACTTATCTTGAGCTAACTATATGGGACTGGCACATTCGACTTTACATTTATTAATGCATTTAATAAACAGCAACCCCATTAATTAGGTACTGTCATTATCCTCATTTTATAGATGAGGAAACTGAGGCCAAAAACGTAGTGATTTGCAAGTTCACTTCCACTAGTAAAGGGTCAAACAACTGGATCACTTTCAACCACAATTTCCAACAGCTTTCAATTACTTTTTTATTCCTGACGAATTTCCGCTAGAGAAATTCAACTGACTCCTATAAATCACAGAGATATAAATTAATATGTTTATTTTGGTAGCCTCCTGTGTTACATTATCACTTCTTAGAAAGGAAAAATAATTGAGTAGATATACGGGTGGAGTATACCTAAAGTGTGAGGAGGGCAAGGCAACCCACTCCAGTATTCTTGCCTGAAGAATCCCCATGGACAGAGGACCGGGCGGGGTACAGTCAACGGCGTTGCAGAGTCGGACACGACTGAGCGACTAAGCACAGCCACCCACCTAGAGTGTACCGAGGGCGCACACACCCACTCACCCTCTCACCCACCTACTTAAGAGTGCACGACAGCGTCGAGCCACCTAACCTGCCTATGACTTCTGGGAGAATGAATACCAACATCCTAAGCGTATTAAAATTTTTGTGTTGATACAAAAATTCGGTCCTCTCAGATGAAGCTGAGAGAAAAAACCAAGAATATGCCACAGTAACTGTTAACCATTTAATAACACTATACATCTCCAATGACCGAGCTGAATACTAAAACGATATAACCTTAAGTTTGAAACCACCTTTTACAAGCGCCAAAATAAATTTCTAATGATATTTCATTCCATAAACGTTTAAAATTTTCTTGCCAAAACTGTCTAATAAAAGTTGCAAAGCCAACTTCCATCCCACTAAAACTTTTTCTCTCCCTGCTCCTGTAATTCTTCCTACGGGCACCTTTTCACTTTACTTCCACAAACTTTACCTGCTCTTCAGCGCTCGGTTCTCGGCTTTCTCCTCGGGTTCTTTCCTGCCTGGGCGTGGGGTTCTTTCGACCCACACCCACCACACCCCTGCGGGCCCCCGCCCAGCACTGCTCCTCCTCCCGGGGTTCTGACTCAGCACCTATCAGCGACGCCCCCCGGCCCCTGGCCCAACCCATCCTCGGACACGTGCGAGGGTGTGTTTGTGTCAGTCCGTCAGTCCCGCCGGGAACTGGGCTCACTCACCGAGAAAGAAGCGCCAACTTCTGCTCCAGCATCATCTCCAGCTTCTGGCCCTGTTTGGAGATCCAGTGGTCCACTCCATGCTGGCGATAGCACGTCTCCAGCATCAACCTGAAGTCCGCCACGAACTCGGTGATGCCCCCGTACTGGCCGCTGGCGAATTTCTCCTCCATCTTCAGCAGACACATGCCCTCACCGGGCTGCTGCGGGAGAGCGCGACTGCCCCGGCCTCCGCCGCGCGGCCCCTCGGCCGCCTCCTCTTCCCTGGTGGCAACGCCCCCCAAGGGCTGGAGGAATGGGGCGGTGAGGCCTCGGTGCTTCTCCTGCAGGAACTCGCCCAGGATGCGGTAGCCCTGCTGCAGCTCGTAGGTCAGCTCCTGCTCCTTGCAGCCACCGCCCCCGACCACCATCGCCTCCTCCTCTTCGTCGTCGTCCGCGTCCTCTCTCGAGGAGGCACTCCTTCGGGCCGGCCGTGAGGCCGGAGCCGCTGCCACCAACTCGTCGTCGTCCTCTTCCTCGGCCGCCGCCGGTGGCCGCTCCTCTTCTCCGGCCGGCTTCATCTCCCCCGGCTTCCCGGGCACGCTCATGCCTCCGGCAGGCCCAGGTTGGGCGGTGTGCAGGAGCCGCTCGAGGCGCCGGGGCACGCGTGAGCGCGGACCGCTTCCTCAGGGCTCAGGGGCGCCGCGAAGCCTCAGCCGCATCGGGCCTCGCTCTCCTCAGCTGCCGGCTCGGCTCGGTGCGCGCGGGGGTCTCGAGCTTGTCGCCGGCGGGGCGGGGTTACATGGGGCGCGGGGGAGGGGGGAGAGAAGAGGAGAGCCTAGGTGCCCTCCTCTCCCCTCCCCCCGGCGGCGGCGCGCGCGCACGGCACTAGCCTGCCTCACCCCTCCGCGCCCCGCCCGGCCGCTCTGAACCCGCCAGGCCTGGCTTGGCCTCCGCGCCCCACCCCCTCCCGGGCCGGCTTGAGGGCAGGGAGGGGGCGAGGAGGAAAGTGGGCTTCTTCTCTAGCCTCCCCGGAGGGCGCCGAAACGCCGGGCCACCGCGGCTCGGGCTCCTCCTCCTCTCCCTCACACCCCCTCCCGCCCCTCTCTACCTGCGGGGGACCCAGGCAGGAGGAGGCGGCGCGCGGACGGGGCCTGGCGACAACTGTCAGTTAGAAGCCCTACTGGGCGGGGGGAAGAGGAGGGGCCGGGAGAGAAGGGGGAGGGCACTCAGCCCCCCCCCCCTGCCCCGGCTCTCCAGGTTGGGGCGAGCTGTGGAAAAAGGCAAAGAAAGAGGCACCGTCGCCGTCGACGGTGAGCATGCGCAGTAGAACACTACCACCCCCACCTCACGTACCGCTACGTGAAAGCCAGGACTCCGTCTCAGCTTCAGACCCTGAGGCCTGGTAGGTTGCGCGGAGCAATGATGTCATCAGTTTGTAGCCAACTGGAAGGGGCGGAGTAAAGAGAGAAGCAAAGCGGCCGCCGGGCTTTGCTCGCCACCTCCTGAGTGGGAGGCTGAAAGGGTTTTAGAAGTGGGCTGTGCTAAGAGGATAGTTGTTCCGCGAGACACCTCTTAGTGCTGAAAGCTAAAATTAATCCTGCAGGCGCTTGCTAGACAACTTTCGTTGATGGAAAGTGAATTGTAAGTAGACATCGAGTGTAAATCCTATCCATTGTAAAAAATTTCCTTTTGCACACTGCCCTCTCCCCACGTGACTGCTGGTTTTTCAACGTAGAATTGGCATTTTGTAAAGTTTAGAAAGGTTCAAGAACTCGACTAATTGGAACATATGTTCACATGCAAAAGAAAAAGAGATGTGTAGAACTCGAATTTCTAAAACTCCTGTCCCCAAGCCTTAACATCAGTTCCTATTTTGGAAGTTAATCCCATATTTTCCGTTAAAATGAAAAAACATCCCCACCTTCTCAATTTTTGACATCTGCTAAGAGTAAAGGAAGGGAATGGAACCTTATTTAAAGTCCTTGGGACTTAGTCTTCAAATATTTCAAATCACAACTGCAGCATTTAACAGTCGTTAGCATAACCTTTCAATCTCATTTAAAAATTACTGTTTAGGGAATGCCTAAGAAGTAAGGTTATCATTCCATTAGTTGACATATTGCTTAAAAATGAGGAGAAAGTAACTAACGGTTCCTTAATGCAGATATTACTATTTTCTCACTTTCTTTTTCAAAGATGCAGATATTCCCTTTTCTGCTTACACAGGACGCTCTTGCTTGAAACGTGGAATTACTTGAATACAAAATCAAAATTTTAGAAAGTAAACACTTTAAAAGTAAAGATGTATAACAAAATGATTGGGATATTTTGACTCTTAAGACTGTTTTACTTCCCATCAGTGTGGACCTTTAAAGCACTGATAAAATTTGAAACTAAAAAGCTTTTTCCTTTTTTTTTGGGCGGGGAGGGGGAGAAGGGTCCAGTATGTTAGATAGCAGTCTTAGGTAAGAGTGCTTACCTAAAAAGGGGCGCTTTTAAGGTTTTAGGGTATTGACAACCCCCCCCCCCACACACACACAAACACACACCCATCATCTAGTTTATCTAGATCTCCTCTTACCTCATCAGACATTTGTAATTTATTAGGCATTTACAGCATTCTCTCTCCTTAGCGCCCATGAGTGAAAGTCACTTGGCCCTGTGGACTCTCTGGGACCCCATGGACTATATGGTCCATGGAATTCTCCAGGCCAGAATACTGGAGTGGGTAGCCTTTCCCTTCTTCCCAACCAAGGAATCGAGCTCAGGTCTATAGATGTGTCTTAAATCAGGAACAAAGGCAGACCAGTCTTACTTCAGGGACTGGCAACCAAAAATGTGTCTGACTGGACATCTCTCATTTCCTTTGAGAAATCCCAAGAATCTGGACCCATCCCATCAGATGTCACCCTCCTCTCTTTAGCCACCAACCATATTTCATGACTCTCAGATAGTATTAGCTTGCATTTATTGAACCCTGTGCCACTGATCACTTTATATTCATTACCTTCTTTAATTCTCACAATCCCATGAGCTAGGCCTTATGCTTATTTCACTGATGGAAAACTGTTTAGGTTCAAAAAGCAGCTTGGCAAAATTCAAATCTAGGTTTGTCTTCAAAATTCTCCAGGTGCCTAATTCCAAGTCATATGGTAGATTTTCCAATTTTTCATGCACAAGAATATATGGAATTGGTAGAAATGTTTACCAAAGTCTTCTTAAATAAGGAATATTAATAAAGACTCCTGGATGAGTAGAAGGAAATTTAGCTACATGTCACTGTGAGGCCAATTAACTTTTAACTATTATGAAAGTAGAATTAGCTCTTTGAGCTTTTAGGAAATATAGATAAATGAGAAGAAAAACTGCCTTTCAGTCAGACTGTCCATAGAAGACCTCTATTAATACTTTGTGGTGGGGTTTTTTTTATTTATTCATCTATACTTTTAAATTTAATCTTATTAAAATTATGACTATACCCCAACCAATGTCCTTTTCTTTTTTTCTCTTAACAATAAATAATTGCAGGGAATGTATAGGAATTGCATATTTAAAATCTCAATTTCTTATCTCTGTCCACAGTGGCCTAGATGGCCTGCTCATGAACTGGTAGGAGGGGAAACAGGGAAATTTTAATGTAAAAGGAATTCCAGACCATAAAAGAGAACACAGAAGAGGTACAAACACCAACAGCAGTAACAGCTACCATTTATTAAGCACTTACTACGTCTTAAATACTCACTAAATACTTTACATACACAGTACTCATAACAGCCCCAGGAAATCCATGACAGATGTATTTGTTCTTAAATTCTGGATAAATAATTTGCTGAGTAGAAAGATTTTTTTTCTACCCTACAAAAAGCCTGAGATTAAAGACCAACATTGTAATTAATATAAGTAACCCCAGATTTATAGAACTGTTTTCTTAGAATCCACACTTACTGCTAAATCAATGGTTGTCTCAGAGCTGTTTTCTTTTTCATGTTTAAAGATTAATTTTGCTTCCCTTTCATGATCACAATTGAATTCTCTTTAATGCTACTATACAACTAAGAGTTTCTTCAAAATAGAAATTTAAGCCCCATTTTGAATCAGGGCTTCTCTTGTTGAACTGCTTTGCAGGGACAAATGGCATACATATACAATGCAATATTCTTCTCAAACACTTGACAGTGATTAACTCCCACAAATAATCATTTACTCTTTGTCAAATACTGTATTACAGTATGTTATATGCTACCAATGTCAGATGCACCAGGATACCCTTTACAGTAACTGCGGTCCTTAAGAGTCCTTGAAGAGTCCTGTGGTCCTGGATAAGTTAAAAACAGACTGATCTGGCCAAGATTTTAAAGTTCTCTTAACTATCAGCTGGACACCTTGGGAACTAGAATATGGATATGTCTCAGCCTCAGGAGGACATTATTAAAAAGTTCTTTGATTATGGAGAAAACTCGCCACATCCTCTGCAGTATCTCAAAACTCTTTTCCAATACCAGTATCCTCCCATTACTATGAAAACTAGGAGTATCATAGAATATGATCACTATATTCTTCATTCACAATTCAAAGGGTTTGTCCTGGAAGTTCTTCTATCCCATCTTTGTGCACTCTTTAACATCTTGTGTTAGGCAGCAGGAAACCCAAGCACACTGCTTGCCCAGCATCAGGAATTTAGACAAATAGCAACAACGTACATACTTCACATCAAATAGAGGATAGGTGACAAACATTTTAACACAACAGAAGCACAGGTTATCACCAAGGTGTGTGTTTGATAAAACATGCAAGGTAAACAAGAGGCTGTAACACTGACTAATCATGGAGAAACACTGGGAAGGAATATAAACTGCTTAGCAGGGAGAGAACAGATCTCTCAATCATAATGGAATCCACTCACAACACTTATTTGGAGTTACTTTTATGGGGGATGACATTCAAGTAATATTAAAGTGCTTCAAGCAAAATTTAGCAATGCCTGTAAGGCTTCCTGCTGCTCATCATCAAGATGGGAAATGCATTCCAACCATAATTCTTCAGAAGTCTGTACCTGACGTACAACATTAGCTAGGCGTTTGGCACAAGGATCTTCATAGTTAATAGTCTCATTAATTTTTCCTTCTGCAATTATACTAATTATTTTTGGAAGATTGGAATTATTTGGACCAAGTACAATGGGGTGGTTACTTTCAACTAAGTCACAGAGAAAACTCAAAGTCTGAATAGCTTCCTCTTTATCCTCATGCAATGGAAGCCATGACAACCAGTGTGGAAGAACTTCATCTACATTTACACAGTTAGGCTTAAACCTCAAAATCTTCCCTACTGCTGAGATACAGTTCTCTGTAGCAATGACATTTTTTTTGGTTTTGGAATTTGCACACTTAATAACTTTTACTAGCAGTGGAACAGCTTCTGAACATAAAGAACGATAATCATCTCCACCAAACTGTGCCATAACACCCAGGCCATAAGCAGCAGCTTGCCTGACTTCAGGGTTGTTGTCTCGCATATTTAGTAGCATTGGCCACCGAAAATATTCAACATATTTAAATGAGGTTGGACTGCAGTGCTCTATGATATCATCAAATATGCACAATCCCCATTGTCTGTCTGGCCATGGCCTATTAGAACAAATTAGATTCACAATTAATGGAAGTAGCTGTTCAAACCACGGTAAAATCTTTTCCTTGTAAGTACTAAATAATGAGTGCAAAATATCTGATACTTTGGTCAGAATATAAACATCACATTCATCCTCATCTTGCAGAGACATTTCAACCTGTTGATCATAGTTTTCTTCCTGTCTTTTAACCTGTCTTAGTTCTTGGTTTTTAAAGTGCCCTTCAAGTTTTGCTTTCAATATTTCTCCCAGTTCTTCCAAGTGTTCATCATTAAGGCACCCATCTCCCATTACTTCAATGGATTTTGCAAAAGAATTCATTATTTCTGAGAGTACATCTGTATCAGGTTCGGTCCCAATAGCCTTGATTAAGGGATCACATATGAATTGCCACATCTGTGCAAGATACTCTGGCCCACGAATTCTTGCACATTCCAGGAGAAAAGGCAAGGACTCTGCAGCTGCCACTCGAACACTGTCATGGAAATAAAATTTCAATAAAGGAACCATCAGTTTTACAACTTGTTCTGTATAGTCCACAAATCCTTCTCTTAACTCCTTAGCATAATAAACCAACATCTGGCAAGCAGTTGCTTTTGCTTCAAGTCCTGAAGTTTTAATTCCAAAACTTTGCTGGTCTCCAAGGTTTACAAATTGCCATCCATCATCATCACTCATATTCTCCACGTCTTGTGTGTCTAAGAGAGCAACATCAGGTTTAGCTGAAGCAGTCTTAATAAGAGGCTCAATAACCAGTGGAAGGTACTGTTGAAAATCACTTCCAAGAATTTTACACATTCTAGCCCATGCTGAAACCATGTAAGAGGTCTGAGGGTCATCATCTTCCATATTATTTAAGTCTGATTGTGTCTTCAACAATAACTGCATCACATTTGATGCATCTTGCATAAATTTTTCCTTACCAACAGCAAGACCAACATGGCTAATGCATTCAATAGTCTTTCCTTTCAGAAGTTTGAGTTCCTTTTGAACAGCAAGCTCAACGGTATGCTTTAGTGAGGGCATAAATATATCATAGTATGGTACAAATTTTTCTTCTATTGTATCTGCAACTGAGGCAATGGTTGTCACAAGCTGTTCTAAGGCCAACTTAGTTCCATTGCGAATCAACTCTTGAAGTTTAATCACCAAGATAGAATGTAGATTTCTTACCATACTATCCAAATATAGAATCAGCAATGATTTGGGGCAGTCTTCAATAAAAATAATAAGTGCAGAAGCTGCATGTGACTGTACACGCTGATTACCTTGATTTTCCATAGTACGCAACAGAGCTGCAATCACAGTTTCATGAAATTTCTTTTGGAAGTTAGGTGCAAAATCTGTAGCCATCTGTCCAAGTGTAGTACAGGCTGCTGCCCTCACCCTCGGATGAGGATCCTGAAGAAAAAGCAAAACAGAGTTAACTGTTTCATCTAAAATTGATTCCATTTGCTGATGGCATCCTTCTCCAATAGCAGATAAGGCCATTAATCCAGCATGTCGGTATTTCCAGTCAGGGCTCTGTAGCATCTGCATGATATGCTCCTTAGTCATTGGTAAAACAAGTTTTCCACCGAGCCCACAAGCCAGTCTGTCTAATGCACTCTCAGCAGCAACTGCATTGCTGTCAAAATCATCTTCTTCCATTTCATCAGCATTTACCCAGTCCTCGTCATCTTGTAGATCAACCATCATTGCTAATATATGAGGAACTGCCTGTGCAATAATATTTGTATGTTTTTTCAACATTGGGGTGGCAGTTTCAGACAAGGTCACTATTACTTCAAGTGCCAGCTGGCGTTGCAGGTTACTAAGTCTAGAGTCTCCACATAACTTTAGACTCAGTTGCAGAGTATCTTCTAAATAAGGACCCAAATATTTAGGTACAGTATCTGCAATCTCCACAAGGGATTCTAGCACTGAGTCATCATCCTGGTAGCATGAATCATTCACAGCCTGTAAGATTCCAGGAAGCAAGTCTGCAAAGTCTTTGAAAAGACCACTATTATTCTCATTAGCAAGTACAAATGCAGCTGCAGCTCTAGCAGATAATGTCCTGATTGCTGGATGTTCTTGATCTTGAATACACTGGTCCAACAACCGTTTGATGATATCCAAATCGTGCCGCTCTTGGTTCCCAAAAATCCCCGGAAAGTGCCAGAAAACGTGAAGTGCAACTTCCCATAGAACCACATTTTTAGAGTAGATTGAATCAACAAGGAACTTCAGACCTTCAGGCCAGTGGTTAGTGCCATCCTCATCTATCAAATTCCTGGCCAGCACTGCAAAAATGTCACAAAGTTTTTTCCTCATACTAGCATGTGTTTCTAACTTAACAGCCAGTATCAGTTCAATCTTGACGTCCCTCTGAACATCAGAAGGCAGATTTGGATAGACTTCCTCAAACCCAGAGGACAAAAGCCGTCGTAGCAGGGCGGCAGCCATTTGTCTCACCTCATAACCCGCTCTTCTATTTCTGACGGCATCTAAGAGGAATGTAGTCTTACACAGACCTGGGATATTTTCATAGATTTCCTCTGCCTGCCGCCGCACCATACAGCTTGGATTGATCAGGTTCTTCAGAAGCTGGTAAAACTCTTGCTTTCCCGACACGGTCGCCGGTACTCCGGCAGACGCGGACGCCGCCATCGCGTTCTGTCAAAGCAACCGCGACGGGGAAGAAGGGCGGGGGTCTGCGTCCCGGAGCAGTGACGTCAGCGAGGCGCTGGAGGGGAGGGGAGGGGCGGGGCGGGGCCGCTTCTTCCTCCCCTGCCATGGCTCCCCTTGGTCCGGGATTTGGGAGGCTGGGAGTCCGGTGGCGCGGGATTCGTGGGGTCGTGGTGGGAGCGAGGGTCACTCTCCATCTGTTTTCCAATAAGATGAAAATGCACCTACAGAGTGCAAAATAAAACTATGATAATGACTATTAGAATGGGATTATGGGTTTTTTCGTCTTGTTTCTAAACTATACGGTTGATACACTGATAATTTTAAAAGAGAGCATACTCCTTGAAAATCTGCTAAGTGAAAGAAGACAATCACAAAAGGGTACATGTTATATGTTTCCCTTTATATGAAAGGTCTTAAGTGGAAAATCCATACAGAAAGTAGATTAGTGTTAGGCAATGGCTGAGGGGTAGGGAGAATACAGAATGACTGCTGTCCGGGAAGTTCTTTCTGGGTGATGAAAATGTAAAATTGATAGTGGAGATAGCTGCACAGCTCTGTGATTATACTCAAACCATTGAATTGTACAATTTAGATTGGTGAATTGTATGCATGTGAATAATGCCTCAATAAAGCTTTTTATCAAATAAGTACAATAAAAGATAAAGACAGATTACCACTCCACTATTACACCCAATGCAGTAGAGCAGAGGTGCTCAGATTCAGGTGTGTGTCGGAATCACTTGCTCTGTGGATTATAATAAAGAATGAGAAAGGTATTTGAGTAATGTGTGATGAAAAGTGACGTGGGTTAGTAAGATTAGAATCCTGGTCTTGTCTCAAAATTGATTTGAATCCCTGGTCTTGTCACTCAAGATTTTCTTTGCAAACTTAAAATGGTTTTACAGTTTTCCTTTTCATAGAGAGCAGCTGAGGTTATTTTAAGAAATAAATGCTCCTGAGGCTAAATATTGTTTCTTTAATTCAGGAAGGGTTGCTTCCCTGGAATTACCAGCCTCATTAATTACCCAGGCTCAGCAGTAAATAATCCACCTGCCAATGCAGGAGGCACAATTTTGATCCCTGGTCCTAGAAGATGCCACATGCTGTGGAGCAACTAAGCCCTTGTGCCACAACTATTGAGCCTGTGCTCTATAGCTGGGTAAACAGGAACTGCAACTAATGAGAGCACAAGTCACAACTACTAAAGCCTGTGTGTCCTAGAGCCTAGTGCTCTGCGGCAAGAGAAGCCAGTTCAATGAACAGCCTGCCCACTGCAACAAAGAGTAGACCCTGCTTGCTGCAATGAGAGAAAAGCCTGCACAGCAACAAAGACCCAGCACAGCCAAAAATAAATAGCAAAATACATAAATAAAGTTATACATTAAAAAAAACAGTCATCGTTACTTTAACTATGATTAGATCTTACTTTTGTATGGGCCTTCCCACTCTATCATTTTAACCATTACACAGGTTTGCAAGGTTGGTAGGATAGGTTTAATACTAATTTTAGGTGAAAAATGGAAACTCAGGAAGGTTAAGGGATTTGCCTATGATGACACACCCTGAGTCTCAAATCCACCTCTTTTGAAAGCAGCACCAATGCTCTTTCACCATACCATTTCCCCATAATTACTCTTGATTTTGCAACACAATCAGAGGTTTTCGCTTATTGCAGGGTATATTTTAAACTTCTCTAATTTTGTTCCCTGGCAGTTCATCAGTAAAGAATCCGCCTGCCAATGCAGGAGATGAAGGTTTGATCCCTGGGTCAGGAAGATCCCTTTGAAAAGGAAATGGCAACTCACTCCAGTATTCTTGCCTGGGAAATCCAATGGACAAAGGAGCCTGGTGGGCTACAGTTAACAGAGTCACAAAGAGTCAGACATGACTTAGTGACTAAACAACAACAAAAACAACAACAAATGCTCATTTAGGAAGAAACCTTATTCTCTAAACAGTGCTTTTTATTCTGTGGACTGAAAGTCAACTGCATCAGAATCACTTGAGAAACTTATTTTAAAATGTAGATATTAGGGCTCAGTCTCTGAACTACTGAATCAGAATTTCTGGGTGATACAACCCAAGAATGTTCAATTTTAACAAGGACACTGGGTTTTCATGTGAATACAAAAATTTGAGAACTACTGCTGAGATAAATTTTCATTCTGATTCCAAGGTCTTCACTACAGTTCTGCATCTTGCTCCAGAGTCAATGGCTTTCCCACCATTCTTTGAAAAAATCTAACTATAGGGACTTTGCATTCGCTCTTTCAGAAAATCTTAGTAAATATTATATGTTGGGGGGAAGAAGCTTGTCTTAAAACCGTATCTATTAGTGTATTAAAGACACAAAAACTAGGGTGAGATACCACCACAGGCCAAATACAATGTTTTAAATTTAAGTCTAAGACTATCAAGTGATAGTGAGAATATGGAGTAATAGGAAACTCAGTGATACTTTTGGTGGTAGTATAAGTGAGTTGGTAGAACCATTCTGTAAAAAATGTTTGGAAAATGCTGGGTTAAGATTACGCAGTTATTGGAGAAGGAAATGGCAACCCACTCCAGTACTCTTGCCTGGAAAATCCCACAGACAGAGGAGTCTGGATGACTACAGTCTGAGGAATCACAAGAGTCGGACATGACTTAGCGACTAAACAATAACAATCATTTTAACAACCCTAGAAGAGCTATAGCAGGATGGACACTTCCAGCAAAGGTCTCGTTATCAGTGAATTCGATGAAGACATCGGCAGCTGTATTTGTCTTTTGAGCCCAGATCGTTGGAAGAGAGCAATCAGTTTCACCTTCTGGGATCTAACTCAGAATAAAAACATGGTTAAGAATAAAAGAAAATGCTCTCATTTCCATACTGAGATGTCTGAAATAATACTTAAAAATACTATTTTATACGTTATCATCTTGTTTAGCGCCAATGTATATGCCTCCTGAAAGCTTGTAAATATATTTTTGATTTTGTGCTCATAAAAAAAACTGAGATGTAACACAATGTGTTATATATTGATTAACATCAGGCATGACATCAATACAAAATTATTATAAAATACATGTTAAATAAACTACAAAAAAAAGATTATGCAGTTATTCATTTATTTTCTCAGCACACATTCATTTAGGGTACACTCAAGTATGGTGCTGTGTGCGGGGGATAAAGATTAAATACATGAGGATGCCCAGGAGAGACAGTAAATGCCATATAGTGTAGTGGTCACTGTGGTGATGCAACCACATGAGGTTGTGGAGGCAGCTAAGGGAAATCAGGCAAGGCTTCCCAAAGGTGGTGCTATCAGGGCTGACTTTTGAATAAAGAGAAGAAATTTCTAAGTAAAAGGAACAGCTGTGTTCAAATGTGGAAAGGTCTCAGAGCCTAGTGTGGTGAGTTCTGCCAGTATTTCTTGCTGGAGCATTGGGTATGTGACTTGAGGGGGCTTGGGGATGACATAGGAAGCAGGAAGGAGGAGGACAAAAGTTCTATAGAAGACAGAGCATGAAGGGTCTCATATTCCATTTTAAGAAATTTGGCTTTTTCCCCCCAAAAGGTAAAGAGGAGCAGTTTAAGGATTTTAATCAAAGGCTGTGAAATGATCCACATTTAGAAATATTACTTTGATAGCAATGCAAAAACTGAAGCATGAAGACTGGAGGCATTTAGGGCTTTCCAGGTGGCAGAGTGGTAAAGAACCCACCTGCCAATGCAGGAGATGTAAGGGACATGAGTTTGATCCCTGGGTCGGTAAGATCCCCTGGAGTAGAAAATGGTAACTTGCTCCAGTATTCATGCTTGGATATTTTCATGAACAGAGGTTCCTGGCAGGCTACAGTCCATAGGGTCACAAACAGTTGGACAGGACTGAGCACACACACAACCTTAGTTCAGTTAAACTGAAAGTCTAAATCATTGCAGTGGTGGAAGGAAAGAAAAGAGGGCAAGGACTGGATAGGTCAAAAGAAGTCATATCAATAACACCTTACACAGGAAAGAGAAGCCTAGGAAATCTCCCCAAGTTTTGACCTGGGCATCTGGTTAGAGATGCTGTAATTTACCTATTTCTTTACCTACACACGAGGAAAGAACTGTATTAATGCAGACCAAAAGACTGCTAACTCTTTCTAGAAGAATTCCCTAACAAATGAAAGTGTTAATCCCTCAGTCATGTCCAACTCTTTGTGGACTGTAGCCCAACAGCTCCTCTGTCCATGGAATTTTCCAGGCAAGAATACAAGAGTGGGTTGCCATTCCCTTCTCCAGGGGAACTTCCCAATCCAGGGGTCGAACCCAGGTCTTTGGATTTCACACAGATTCACTGTCTGAGCCAGCAGGGAAGTCCTGGCTATGTACCAGGTGGTAGGTACTCAGTGACATTTTATGAACAAAGATGGAGTTACTCCCAGTCTTATCAAAACTCTCCAGTATCCAGTGAAAGCAAAAGTGAAAGTCGTGTCCAACTCTTTGTGACCCCATGAACTATAGTCTATGGAATTTTCTAGGCTAGAATACTGGATAGTGTAGCCTTTCCGTTCTCCAGGGGAATCTTCCCAACCCAGGGATCGAGACCAGGTCTCCCACATTGCAGGCGGATTATTTACCAGTTAAGCCACAAGGGAAGCCCAAGAATACTGGAGTGGGTCTTCCTTAAGAAGATGAGTCTCCAAATCCATATTTTGTTCTCTAATTGCTCCCACACTCCACAGTGATGGTCATTGTTACAAAAGTAAGAGCTAAACGGAATCCATTTTAGGAAAAATATATTCTTAGTTTAGAAGAACATGCACAGAGTTAAAATCTTAAGGTACTTCCTCTCTAGATTGCATAATTCAATTCTATTTACCTTTTGCACTGTTATTTCCTCCCCGCCCCCACCAAGAATCACACATAATATTCAAGATTTTAAGACTGGACTGGATTTGGTTAAACAACTTTATTAAACTTAGTAATTAAAATTGGATTTTAAGTTTGT